CACTGGATTTGTCACCTCAAATTCAACACATCTGCACCAGCTCCTGTCATTTTTCACCACCTTCCCAGCCACCAGTTAATACCCCTCATTCTTTAAGCATAAAAGAGGATCAAATTTTGTGTCAAACCAACGTGGGCTCAACTAGAAGTGCCCTATACAAACCTTGAGGCCTTGGGCAAGTTACTGAACCTTAATGGGTCTCAGTTTTCTCATCTATGAAATGGAATAGTCACAAAACCTTTCTTAGAAGGTGCTTGTGGGGATTGAGACAATTTATATATAATATATAGTTCTCGGCACCTAGCAAATGTTAGGTAAATGGGATTATTATTGCTATTACTGTTGTTTCTCAGGTTTTGTTTTTTTTATCCTCACCCGAGGACATTTTTCCTTTTTTTGTTCAGATAGAGCGGGAGGGAGAGAGAGGAAGAGAGAAACATCGATGTGAAGGGACACATCGAGTGGCTGCCACCCGCACAACCAACCAGGGCCGGGGGACAAACTGCAACCAAGGTACGCGCCCTTAGCGGGAACCGAACCCGGGTCTCTCTGTACCGCAGGCCGACGCTCCAACCGCTGAGCCAAACTGGCCAGGGCTGTTTCTCAGGTTTAAACCTCGCTCTTACATACCCATTTATGGTTAATTCTGATGCTGAGAGGTGGGAGGAAGAAGAGGGGCCCACAAAGGAGATAATAAAAAGTCAGTGCAGTTTGTGCTCCCTGCAGTGACCTCATCCCTCTGACTTCTAGGATGCAGGGTCTCTCTTTTCCACACCCACCACAGAGAAAGTTGGGCTGTAGCCAAGACCCCCTGCTCTTTTCCCTGCAGACCTCCTTGTTGGGGATCAACAAGCAGTGTTGCTGTGTCCACCTCTTCCACTCTCTTCAGTTCGAGCCTGCACCTGGTGTCATCTGTAGCCCTTGCCTCCCCCAAACACCCACTTTCCCTTGAAGTATCTAGAATCAAAGTTTTAAACATCATCTAGTCCAATCCCTCAAAAACTGAAGTTTAAAATTAAAAGTCATTTAAAAAAATGTTCTTGCACAGTTAAATGTGAGTAAAGTAGGCCTTCTCCCTACCAACCTGCGTGCATTCACCAGTCGTCATTGCAGGATGTGCATTGTGTGCAAACATGTGAGTTTTCACTGTGCAGAGCCAACCCCAGTGTGGGTCTGTCTGGGACTTTAGCTACTCCCCTCCCTCACAGGCCTAGTTGGCTATCCAGCCCCCCAGGCAACAGACATAAGTATGGATGGCTAATGTGGGCGGTAAACAGGGCACTGATCACAATCACAAACCCTCACACGTGCATACCTTAACATCCCCTGAGGCCCATGGTAAATATGAAAGGAGAGGTAAAAAGAGGCTGTAAGGAGACAGGCATGCTGTTTGTACACAGTGAGGGAAGAACAAAGGGAATGCGAAGCCTAGAGGTGGCAGGCAGGAAAAGCAGGCGAAGCAGACAGATGAGTCAAAGAGAATGAATGAGGGCACTGGGTCGCAACAGCTACTGCTTAGCTGCCCCCAGAGGGCAGTGTGAACTGGAAGAAGGGAATGGGGAGAGGCGAGAAGGGGAGTTGATGCCATCACTCAGAATGGGGGAACCAGGCCATACCACCCTGAAGGCGCCCACCCGATCTCGGAAGCTAAGCAGGGTTGGGCCTGGTTAGTACTTGAATGGGAGAAAGGGGGAACCAGCTTAGATCATCCCAGGAGGGACCCACGTTCTCCCTGTCTGATCTGGTCTCACCTCTGGTCTCCTCAATCTTTCTAGCCTGGCTTTGCTCCCAGGGCTTCAGGGTTATGGCAAGGCAGCTGGGACGGCAGAGGAAGGAAGGAGTTAAGCTAACAACAAAGATGTCAGTCCTGGAGATCATTGGACCCCTGCTTGGCAGACAGAAGCCACCCATAGCTGCTAATGTCCTTCATTTATTTGGTGCTTTCAACATATTTTAAATGCCCTCACACTAATGATCTCATTTAGTCTTCAGCACAACCCCGTGTAATAGGCAGGCTGGGATTATCTCTAACATGTTCCTTCTCTCTTTACCCTATGGATCCCTCAAGAGCCCTCAAATTGTTTCTTCCACAGAAACACCCAACAGAGGGGCTATAAAGAAGTCCTCTGTCTAGGCTCCATGCCAGGCTTGCTTGTTGCTGTCTGTCCTGGGCTGGGTCTGACGAGAAGTCACAGGATATGGAATCATTCCCCTCCTGGAATTTCCCAGGCACCCCTCCAGCTTTGCTTACATCTGAAAGCTGGCCACACAATGACCATTTCACCCACTCCCCAGAGAGCTATGTCAGACTTCTCATTAGGGGAATGGAAACCTGAGGCCTAGAGAGGCAAAGGCCTTTGCCCTGAGTCACACAGTGAGCAAACATGGAGGACTCTGTGATGACTTAGAAAGAACACAGGACAGGGAAAAATCAGAAAACCTGGGTACCAGTCCTGGCTCTGCCCCTTGTCAGCCGGAGTCACCGAACAGTCACTCAACCTCCCTAGCCTTGTTTTCCATTAACTATCAGATGGAAATAATGCTCATCTCTTGGGGTTGCTGGGGGGGTTATAAGAGATTAAGATGTCAATATATTATAGAAAAATGAACTATTCTGATTATCAAGTAGCATAGGTAACATCAGGATTATGGAAAGAAGCTGAGCCAAATACAGAGTTTTGTTTTGTTCTTTAAATCCTTACCCGAGGATATTTTTCCATTTTTGTTCAGATAGAGTGGAAGGGAGGGAGAGAGAGGGAGAGAGGCCAAGAGAACCATCAAAGTGAGAGGGACACATGGACTGGTTGCCTCCTGCACGACCCCAACTAGGGCGGGGAACGAACCGCAATGGAGGTACATGCCCTTGACCAGAATCAAACTTGTGACTCATTGGTCCTCAGGCTGACGATCTAACCACTGAGTCAATCTGGCCAGGGCCAAATACAGAGTTTGAGCTCTCCTTAATTTACCTATGTTGCCCTTGGCAAGTCCTGGCCTTGGTTTTCCAAGACCCCTGCCTGCTCTCAGATGGGTTCTGAGGGTTATAACTCTGGTGCAAGAATTCTGGCATCAACCACCCCGATCTCTTTGACTGTCCTATTATCTGTGCCCCACATTGCCTTAGATTCGAGAATCTTATTGAGGGAGCCAGTCAGTCGCCAACAGTGGGAGATCCCTTTGGAGTCTTTGCTCTATCCCCTCCACCTATTTCCTCAGGGCTGAAGTGTACTGCACTCTCTTAGCCTCAGTTGCCTCTCGGCTTTAAGGACAGAAGGGGATGGGGAGGAAAGAGAACAAGGGGCATGGCAGGTGGGGGCACTCTTAGTAGTGAAACCAATGACAGATTGCCTATGTAAGATTTCCCAGTGGAAAGCACCACACTGCCTGGATTCTCTTCCTCCTAGGGAGAGCTGAATCTAACTGTCCTGCCTTTAACATCCTGCTTCTCCCAGGATGGCCCCAAACGTACCAGGCCCCTGATCCTTTCTTTGAGGAAACAGCTCAGCATGACCCTCGCTGAGCTCACAGAGGTGAATTAAATATTAAATGTGCAAGGCTAGAGCCCCTAGTGCAGCAGCACATCCCCATAACACAGACAATGGCATTAGCTCATCTGTCACCCTTCCAGAGGCTACAACTCTCCCTTTTCAGGCTGGGCTTCCCTGCTCCCAGCCCACACTCCTAAGAAGAAATAAGAAATAACAATGTTTTGCTTTCCCCAGCAAGTGATCAGTTCATGTCCCTCCTCCAATCCCCAGTGTTGAGTGCTCCAGGAACCTAAAAATGTCAGGAACACTGACAGCATCTGCAGCACTAAATTTTAGCAGGTCTGTGGCTGGTGGGGCAGGGGCCTCTGCAGCTTAGCCTAGCCCCAGCCTAAGACCTGGAGGCTCCCATGGGAAGAGAATAGCTCAGGAAGGACACTGAGGCTTGATATCTCCCAGGGCAATGAGAATTGGCTCTTATTGGAATGAGGCCTTGGTCTGAGGGCCAGTTGATTTGTTTCTCAGATTATGACAGGTCAAAGAATTATCAGGTTGGAAGAGCCTCAGAAATCACCCAAGCTAACCCTCTATTTTACAAAAAGAGAAATGGGGGCTGGAAGAAAAGAGGAAGCACTTACACAAGGTCTCTCAATGAGCTGTAGAATAGCTAGGCCTAGATTCCAGGTCTCCAGTGTAGAGCCCTGTGCTCTTTCCACCCTCTGCGCAATCTCCCAAATCTCCTTCTTAATGATCCCATGTAATGGGGCCTGCCCCTCATGGGCCCAGTGGACCTCATTCTCAGGGAGCAGAATGCATTCACAGTCCTGCCTTGCCATCCAAGAACTGAAAGAGCATGAGGCCCAAGAGTTCTTGCTCAGCTCTGCCACTTTGTAGGATGGCACCCTGGCCATGTCCCTTCTTTGAGCCTTAGCTTCTCACCTTTAAAACTATTATTTAAGAACCAGTTCCCCAGATGGCTACTGTAAGGATCAAATTAGATCACGTATGTGGGCCATTCTGTAAACTGTGAAGTGTTATCCAAATGTCAGATATTATTAAAATGGTGTGAGGTTTGAAGGTGCGGCAGAGGAAGGAGGTCACAGGTGAGGAGGCTATGCAAGAGTGAGACCCCACAACTAAATGAGGCTGAGGGCCTGCCTGGCCATCTCAAGGACCTGACTGATATTAGGGACCACCAGCAAAGACTGGCATGCAGCAGGTCAGACCAGCCCAAGCTCATTGGCTTGAGAGACTGCCCGCCTGCTTTGCCGTGTGTGTGTGTGTGTGTGTGTGTGTGTGTGTGTGTGTGTGTGTCCCCGTCCTCCTAGGTGCTCCTGGGAGGCTGGCCTGGAATTTGCCTGGCTTTTCCAGGGGAGCATTTGGCAGGAGGGCAGTATATGTTGCTGAGAAAGGACACCTTGCTTCAGGTCAGCTCACAGACCCACAGAGAAAAGCCTGCCAGCCCAGATCCCTCTGAGGACCTCTGGATGCCCCTGTTTCCTCTGGGGCCCTTACCTTGTACTTGGCTGCAAGCAGCTCTGTGGCCTGCTGCTCACGCCGCAGGTCTTCCAGCATTTTCTCCTTCTCCTCTAGCAGCTTCTGCTTTTCCTCACTCATCAGACTGCGGTCATCCTGGATGGCTGCCTTCTCCTCCTCCAGTTGTTCCTTCTGCTCCTGCAGGTAATTCTCCATGTTCTTGTCCAAGGCTGACTCCAGGATAGGCTGGGGTGGGCGGTGGTTGTTGTTGTTGTCATCTTCCTCTTCAGCCACCCAGGCCTCTATCACTGGACCCGCAGGGTACCCGGCTGGGGCTGACACGGCCTTCTTCCTGCGGCTGCTCTTTCTCCGGAGACGCTTCCCCAGCATGCCCTTCTTCTCCAGCTGGGCCTTCAGGCGGGCGATCTCTTCCTGGAATTCCCTCAGCAGTGTGTCCTTAGGGTCCTCATTCACCCGGGGCTTGTTCTTGATGTTTTTGGCCCGGTTGGCAAAGCGCAGAGTAGAAAGGCTCTCATCGTAGCTGTGAGAAGCTGGCCCCAGCGTGGCCACCATAATGGTCTTAGCATTCCCCCCAAGAGAGTCCTGGAGCAGCCGGGTCAGCTTGGAGTCCCGGTAGGGGATATGAGTGCTCCTGTTGCCCGCTAGAGCAGCGATCACATTGCCCAGGGCAGACAGTGAGAGGTTGATTTTGGAGGCTTCCTTAGGCCTTTCTCCACCACCCCCACCCCCTCCACTGCTGCCACTACCTGTGGACTGTGTGGTGGCCCCTCCAGCTGTGTTGGGGCCCACCTTATTCTGCCTCTCACTACCAGCCAGGTCCACCAGGTTGAGCTTGCCCACACGGATGTGGTCCTGGCCATCAGAGCCACGCTCACTGCACTCCACGGTGATGACAAAGATGGCATGGGAACGGGAGCTGACCTCATTCATGTGCGTGCTGCCCACTGCCCTGGTCTGGTTCCCCAGGTTCATCACATGCTCGATCTCCTTGACATTCTTGGTGACAAAAGAGGAGAGGTCCTTGATGTAGACACCTGTCTCTGGATTTTCCTTCAGCTCCAGCCTCTTGCCGGGCTCCTTGGAGAGCAGGTCTCGAATCTCCTCCTGATAGATCTCCAGGTAGGAGGCCCGGACCAGGTACTGCTGGTTCTGGGAGCGCGAGATGTGGGTGAAGATGTGCTCAAAGGCATTAGGGATGACCCCACGCAGCTCGGGCTCCACCCATGTCCCCTGCATGGTGTAGGTCTTGCCAGTGCCTGTCTGGCCATAGGCAAACACTGTGCCATTGAAGCCTTGAAGCACCGAGTCTACCAGGGGCCTCACGGTTTCATCATACAAGTCTGCCTGCTTGGAGCTGGCATCATACACGGCGTCAAAGGTGAAGGTCTTGGGCAGCTCTCCCAGGGCCGCACGGGGGTTCCGCAGGGTAACCTGGCCCAGTTTCACGTCCATGCTCAGGATTTGCTCGTGACCAGCAGCCTCCTCCTTCCGGCTGAGAGGGCGGCACCGGGCCACCACCTTCAGGGCCTCGCTGGCCTTGGTTTTACTGGCCATCTTGCTACTGTCCTTCCTGCCCCACGGCCCCCTCCGTTGCCTAGGCGGTCGTGTGGTCCTCCCTAGCTAGGTATCAGCGGGGCCGGCCCAGCCCCCAAGCGCCGCTCTTCAGTGCTCTTCAATCCGCATGCAGCCTCCTAGGGTGGAAATGCTGGGAGGTGGCCCCACCGCTGCTGCAGTCCGGGCCTCCTCCGTCTCTGGTCCTCGCTGCACCGGCTGCACGGGGAGAATTAGGCAGAATCCCTGGGCAGCCGCGGGAGCCGTGCCGGCCGAACGGCAATGCCCGGAGCCTGCCCCATGCTGGGGCAGAAGAGCCCTGCCGTAAACAGCTACCGCAACAATGAGATAAAGGAAGAGGAAAATGGGATGGGGGTGGGCGGCAGAACTGTCTTCTCCGCCTCCGCCTCCGCCTCTAGGGATCCATGGCCGGTGCTGCAGGTCCTGGGCAGCGGGGGTCTCGGCCCTCTTAAGGGCAGAGGCTCACCTGGAGTCCTCCTCCCCAGCTGGGGGATCATTCATTGCAGCCAGCGCTGCTGCTGCTGCCTCTGCCTCCGCCTTCCCCGCCGCCACCGGAGAATGAGAGAAAAACAGAAGGGGATGGGGCGGAGCAGCGGCGGCGAGAGTGATGTTGCCGCTGCGCTGCGGCCCCAGCTAAGCTGCCCGGCTGGGGTGGGGCAAGGGGCGGGGCCGCGGGGCGGGAGACGCGAGCCCAGGGCAGCCAGAGCGCCCGGGACTGGGGTGCATGCCGACCAGCACCCCGCAGACCCCTCCGGAATGACAGACTCCGGTGCCGACTTAGGTCCTGCGCCCACCAGGCGGGTGGCAGCGCAGCCACCGCCCGCCGTCACCCCTCTAAGCCCGAGCATGCTGGGAGTTGTAGTCCCGCCTTTGTTAACCCGGATCTGGCAGGTTGCTGCTGCCTTCTCCAGTTGGGGGGGTGGGGAGGGTGGACCCTCCCTCTCTGGCATGCAACCCCCAGAGTAACTGCTGAGGTTTCAGCCTACCTGGTGGGGTGCATGGGGGTGACCCACTATCCACCCTTGTTCCCTCCAGTGCTCCAGCCTTTCTGTCTGCAGACAGGTATATGTTATTCCTCCCCTTCAGGGTGTCTCCAGGTACCCTAATTCCTAATCCTTTCTCCTTTCCTCTCCCTATCCTGGTTTACTTTTGCCTTCTTCTTTTCTCTCCTGGAACCACCTTCCAGCTGATTTTCTCCTCACCTCCTCTCCGCACATGCACCCCTCCTCCTCCACCAGCTTTCCATATTGTATAAAAGGCTCTCTCTCTTCTGACTCCTGCCTAACTTCCCAGCCTCTCCTGCCCCCTACTCTCCTATGGAGAGTAAGTGTTCCAGACATTTATTCCTTCAAACGGCGCTTGCTAAACTCCAAGCCCCATTGGAGGAGTTGGACCTTCTTGTCCTCACGGAGCTCATATTCTAGGAACCACCTTTTGTTTCATTAACTGGCTCTGCTGTGTTGCATCTTTGTGCCTTTGCCCAGAGGACTCTGTCACCCTTCTGTACTTGGTGCCCTGCCACTTGGGTAGTTCAAGCACTTCCTCTGTGAAGCTTTCCCTTATTAATGTCTTTTCCATAGCAGAAAAAGACACATACTTTTCTTTCTTTCTTTCTTTCTTTTTCTTTCTTTCTTCTTTCTTTCTTTCTTTCTTTCTTCTTTCTTCTTTCTTTCTTTCTTTCTTTCTTTCTTTCTTTCTTCTTTCTTCTTCTTTCTTTCTTTCTTTCTTTCTTTCTTTCTTCTTTCTTCTTTCTTGGAAGAGAGAGAGAGAGAAACAGCTATGCAAGAGAGATACATCAATCGGCTGCCTTCTGCATGCCCCCTAGCATGTACCCTGACAGGTTATCTAACCGGGACCTCTCAGTCCATGGGATAACCCTCAATCCACTGAGCCACACCGCTGTGCAAGACACATATTTCATAAAACAAAGCTCGGATTCCAGTTCCAGTTCTGATCTTCATCCAACTGTGTGACTCTGGGCAGTCACTTACCTTGCCCCAGCCTTGCCTTAGTTTCCTTGTGTGTTTAAAAAAATTGGAAAGAGGGCAAGAAATACTTGTCTACTTTTGGGAGTGAATGTGAGGCTCAAATAAAACAACGAATCATAAAGTACTGCACTAATGAGAAGACTTATTTTAAGCCAGCCTTTAATAATGCACGTGACCTTAGATTGCTTAATATTTCCTGCTTCCTTGAGCATCCTGGATAGGCCAGGTTTATACTTGGTGTTCCTCTCTGGGGTCTTCATATTTTTTTCCTCTAGGATACAAAGCAAGTATAATTACTCAAGTCCAAGGACCAAGCCAGTATCCTACCTATGTGCCACTCTGCAGAAGGAAGCTGAATCTGTGGACTGGACCCCAGTTGTCTTTACCCTCCATATGAGATCCAGATAGAGGAGGTATTGTTATTTGAAACTTGAAGGCCATTCATAGAGGCACCAGAAGAATCTGTCCATACATTTTCAATCATGTTATTCTCTAGTGGGCCTAATCGTTTAGTTCTTCCTCTCTACAGAACCTATCTCCTTACTTCTTCCCCATCTTCAAGTCCCTAGGACCTGAATGCCAACTCCACTGGAAGCTTGAGGCTTAGATGGTGGCTGGCCTACTTCTGTCATTTCTTGGCCTTCCTCAGCCCTCTCTTTCTTTGATGAAACTCAGCTGCTTGTGATTAACTTGGCTTTTGGACCAATCACTGGGTGGGGTTTTGGCTTTGTAGACTAAGCTCTGGCAACCTGACTTCTGGATGGACAGTTTGGCTCTTTAACAATTTTCTTTTTGCATATAGCTTTGGTTTTGGCACTACCCTTTCTCTGCTTTGGCTAACCCGCCTGACTCTACAGTGCTGGATTAAAAAGGATCCTGGTGCCCTGGCCAATTTGGCTTAGCGGTTGAGTGTCAGCCTGTGGGCCAGAGAGTCCCGGGTTCTGTTCCTGCTAGGGGCACGTACCACAAAAATAATAATACTAATTAAAAAAAATCCTGGCCCCATTCTCACCACCGTGTCACCACTTGGCAGGGCACTTGCCCAAATCCTCCCATGTGGGAGGGACACTGGATACCCATTGTTTACAAGATGTGTGACCCTGAGTAAATTATTAAATTTCTGAATAGCTATCTTCTCAGTGGGAAAAGTGAGGATAAGAATGCTTGCCAGCCCTGGCCAGTTTGGCTCAGCGGTTAGAGCGTCGGCCTGCGGTCCGGAGAGACCTGGGTTCGGTTCCCGCTAAGGGCACGTACCTCGGTTGTAGTTTGTCCCCGGCCCTGGTTGGTCGTGCGGGTGGCAGCCACTCGATGTGTCCCTTCACGTCGATGTTTCTCTCTCTCTCTCTCCCTTCCTCTCTCTCCCTCCCACTCTATCTGTACAAAAAATGGAAAAATATCCTTGGGTGAGGATTTAAAAAAATAAAAAATAAAAAAGAATGCTTGCCAGACTCACGGGATTTACCTGAGGATTAAGTGAGATAAGGTATGTAAAAACTCCTGGGGCATTGAAGATATTCAAGAAATTGTAGGTTTTCTTCCTTTTGTCTTTTGCATTCAGGTTGTTCACATTCTTTGTCTCCCTTTTCAGTATTGCCTTCAGCCATCCTTCCTCCCCACACCCTCTTACACACTCAAGTCTCCAGCCATTCTGGTTTGCTTATGATCCTCCAAACCAATTGTAGTTTTCCGTGTCTCCATACCATTGCTCATGCTGCTCCTTGGCCGGAAATGTCCCTGTTTTAACTTTGTCCCTGTCTACAGAGGCTCACCTTCTATTAATTTCACAATTCTATCTTATATGGCTTCTACTTCTATGGCTCATAGAGATTTCCCTTACCAAGGATATCCATAAACTCCTTGGCCAATTCTAGTGGGCCCGTTTCAATAGGAGCATTTCATATAATCCCCTTCGCTCTTTATCAAAATCTCACTGCCCACCGCTTCCATGACCCTGCACTCTTCTGGTTTTCTTCCTACAGCTCCTAGGAGTTCTGGTTGCTCAATTTCGTCTCTTTAACTGGTTGATCTTACTCAACCGTAACACTGAATGTTTGAGTTCACTAAAGCTAGGTCCTAAGCTCTCTTTTTCTTTCAATGCCCTCTCTGGTGATCACTACAGCTTATGGCTTCAGTTATTATCTAAATAATTCCTAAATTTGTATCTCCAGTCCAGATTTCTCCTCTGAGCTCCAAATTATATATCCAGTTCTCTAATGGACATAGCCACTTGGATAGCTCCCATACATATGAAATTCTACTTGTTCAACTGACTTTGTCATCCTCCCATCCAACCCTTGTCCTCTAGGAATGGTCCTTAGCTCTGTAAACAACTCTTTTCCCACTCTCAATATATACATTCAAACACAAAATCCTATCAACTTAACTTCCTAAATATTTCTCAGATCTATCAACTGCTTCTCCACTTCCACAGCCAGTATCATGACCCAACCCCTTATCTTCTCTGGCTTGACCTCCCACAACAGCCTCTAATCTGGTCTTCCAAGGTGTGCTCTTGTGTCTACCCACCCATTCTCTATAATCTTTTTGAAAAATCATCACCGGCCCTGGCTGGTTTTTCTCAGTGGTTAGAGCATCAGCCTGTGGTCCAGAGATACCCGAGTTTGGTTCCTGCTAGGGGCACATACCTTGGTTGCAGTTTGTCCCTGGCCCTGGTTGGGTCATGTGAGAGGTAGCCACTCGATGTGTCCCTTTTGCATGGATGTTTCTCTCTCTCTCTCCTCCTCTCTCTCTCTCCCACTCTATCTGAACAAAAATTGGAAAAATGTCCTCGAGTAAGGATAAAAAAAAATCATCACCGGAGGATATTCTTCCATTTATCTTCAGATAGAGGTGGGAGTAGGGGCGTGGGGAGAAACATTGATGTGAGAAAGACACATTGACTCATTGTTTCCTGCAGGACTTCGACCAGGGCCAGGGATGAACCACAACCGAAGTACATGCCCTTGACCGGAATTGAACCAGAGACTCTTTGGTCCAAGGGCTGATGCTCTAACTGCTGAGCCAAACTGATCAGGGCTGTATAAAATAATCTTTTAATAACACATAACTGATCACATACTCCATGCTTAAAAGTTTTCAATGTACCCAGCCAGTGTGGCTCAGTGGACTGAGTGTCATCCCATGGACTGAGAAGTCCTGGTTCGATTCCTGGTCAGGGCACATGCAGGATGCAGCTGATCCATGTATCTCTCTTACAGTGATGTTTTTATCTTTCTCTCCCTTCCTCTTTCTCTAAAAAGCATTAAAACCTATTTAAAAAAACAAAAAACAAAAAACCTTTCAATGCTTCTCACTGCTCTTAAGGTAAAGTTCAACTCATTAAGGCAGCCCCCAATTCTCTACATGATCTGGTATCTGCCCTTATCTCCTGTTACATCTCATGTCACTCTCCACCTTGCTCTCTGGGCTCTCATTACAATGACTTTCTTCAACTCCCTTCCAACTTCCTAACACAGGGCCCTTACCCATCCTGCTTCTGCGGCATAGAACATTTATCTCACCATCTTTGCCTAGATAACCTACTCTTCATCCT